ATTTAATTTTAAAATTACAAAAATAATCATTCAAAGGTGGCAACTGAAGTATAGATAGTAGAAAGAATTTTAGACTTGAGTCAAGAATCTGGGTTACATCCCTTCCTGTGTCACTAACTAGCTGAGTCACCTTGCATAAGTCACTACCCAACTCTGGACTGCATAAGGCTTTGCTTCTATACTACATGTTCTTTATACAAAAGACAGTAGGGCTGAAGGAAGCTGAACCTTCTTGTTTATCAGCTATCCACACAAATCTAGTAGTTCCGATGTCAGTCCCCAGTTGCATTTTTTACCTTTTTAAATAATCCTTTAAATCCTTGCTAGGCTTTCATTGTTAGTTAGTTCATTTCCCTAGGAATTTGCATTTGGAGATATGGCTTCCTACTGTTTGATATTTTTCTGTGTTCATGAATTTAATGAAAAGTTACAGTTGCTGAAAAATATGAAAATTAAAAATCTCGTTTGAGTGTTTTTGTAAAATCAGACTGTTTCCATCATGACTAATACACTTTCACTATTTCAGAATGTTGAAGTTTTTGAGTCTTTGTATGGCAAGGCATGATTGTCGGTTTCTCTTATTATTAGCCTTGTAGCATTCTCCCACCTACTGCTTCTGAACATTAATTTTTTAAAGCCCAGAATGATTGAGCAACAGGGAAAGCTTGCTAGCCTGATCCTTCGTTACATTTTTTAAAATTTCCTTAATTTGAGTTTGAAATGCACTGAACTCAATTTCATTGTTTTGCTACAAAATACACTAAACAAAATGATAACTTGCCTCAGATTATAGATAAATTAATAGTATGGCAGTGTCAGCATGTGTATTATTTTAATGTAAAAGTTGGAGCTAGATACAAAATATTCCTCATTAAAGTAGGCCTAGCACTGTAACTAAAAAGGCAGACAACAACAAATGTTGACAAGGATGTGGGGCACTGGAAAAAACCTTCATACATTGCTGGTAAGAACATGCAGTGTTACCGTTGCTGTGGGAAACAAGTTGGTGGCTCCTCAAAAAGTTAAACATAGAGTTATCATATGACCCAACAAATCCACTCCTAGGTATCTGCCCAAAAGAAATGAAAACATATGTCCACAACAAAAACTCAAAAATGAGTGTTCATAGCGGTCTTATTCATAATAGTCAAAAACTGGAAACAAGCCAAATGTCCATCAGCAGATAAAATGGACAACAAAATGTGATATATCCAGATAATTGAATATTATTAGGCAATAAAAATGATGAAGTACTGATACATGTGCTACAACATGAATGACACCTCAAAAACATTATGCTCTGTGAAAGAATTCAGATACAGAAGGCCACATGTTATATGATCCTGCTTATATGAAATGTCCAGAATAGGCAAATTCTATAGAAATAGAAAGTAGATTATTGGTTTGTAAGAGCCGGGGGAAGGGGAAAATATAGAGTGACTGCTAATGGATGCTTTCTTTTGGGTGTGATAAAAATACTTTAATATTGGATAATGGTGACAGTTGTACAACTCTGTGAATATATTGGATTGGCCAAAAAGTTCACTTGTTTTTTTTTCTGTAAGATGACTGTAGTAGTGCTTGGCTGTCTTTAATTTCATTTGAAGCAATTTTGTTAGATTTTTATTGTGATAGCTGTTATATGAGCATGCATTAAAAACAACTTATCAAAATTGGTGAATTTTTGTGTAGGTATTTTAATATTGAAGATGGAAGAAAATGTGCAACTTTTTAGCATATTATGCTATACTATTTCAGGAAACATAAAAACACAACTGAAACACAAAAAGATTTGTGCAGCGTATGGAGAAGGTACTGTGACTAATAGAGCATGTCAAAAATTATTTGTAAAATTTTGTGCTGGAGATTTCTCACTGGATGATGCTCCACAGTCAGGTAGATCAGTTGAGGTTGATAGCGATCAACCTAATTGAGATATTAACAGAGAACAATCAATGTTATTGGGATGTAACCAACATGGGATATAACCAACATACTCAAAATATCAAAATCAATAGTTACCGGTGAAAATAAAAAATGTGTCTTATTTACAGAAAAAAGTAAATGAACTTTTTGGCCAACCCAATACTAAAACTATTGAATTGTATACTTACAGGGTATGAATTTTAGGATATGTGAATTATGAGGGCTATGCAGAAGATATCCAGCCATGTAATATGAAAAAGAGACATGTATCGAAGAAGATACAAGAAACATTGTATATAGGGCAGTGATGCCTCAGTCCCCTTCATAGTAGGTACCTTGGGACCTCACACAGTTCTCCCAATCACCATCAGGTGCCCTATTGTATTTTCCTGAATCTCATCCACAGTCTGATATATCTCCCCTTTTGAGGGTGATTTTAGTTTTGGGAAAAGGCAGAAGCTGCAGGGCAACAAATAATGGGCTGTAGTCAGGGCCAAGTCACCTGGGTGATTTGGTATTTCACCAAAAACTCTGCGTGAGATGTGATGCATGAGCAGGTATGTTTTTGTAATGAAGCTGCCAATCACCAGTTGTGCAGAACTGTGGCCTTCTGAGTCATCCAAATAGTTTTCGTGGAAGAATGTTCAAGCTTAATGCAAAATTTGATGTAGATTCATTGCTTTATTCACTCAGACATCTTGAATGTGCAGCCACACAGTACACGCTCACTCATCAGTGTGTCCCCCTGCCCCCGCACTGACTAGTACAGGGAAGTCATCATTGTCCACAAATGTGCATTCCAGTCCACTCTCCTTGGCTGCCAGGTTACATCCTTGTCATGCAAACCCTTCTAGTTATATTAAGAATGGCTGGACTTTTTCAGGACAGACCGTGTATATCCAAATAAAGCTGTTATATATTTAAAATGTTATAATTACTGGAAATTATAAAAGTGTATTTAAATTAAATTTTGGCCATGGGCTGAGAGGAAGGGGTAATAGGTAGTTAGTATTTAATGGGTATCATGTTTCATTTCGGCAAGGTGAAAAAATGTTCTGGAGATAGATGGTGGTGATTGTTGCACAACAGTGTGAATGTACTTAATCTCACAGCACTGTGAACTTAAAAATGGTTAAAATGGTAAATTTTATGTTACTATATTTTACCACAAAAAAAAAAATCTGCAACCACCAAAATTACACTTTATATTATTCTAATGTGTAAGGCATTTCTTCTTTTTAGCAGGAAAACTGGAAATGTGATTGGCCTTTTGATTTTTATGTATGAGCTTCCTCTGGTCTGTGTTTTAGAACTGCCCTCCAGTATGCATAGTATGTCTTGGTGGGAAAGGTGGAGTTTATGCACAGTCTTTATCTTGGCTTTAAATAAGAACTTAAAAATACTTTCTAAAAACTTTATTTGCCAATAAGAAATAAAGAGAAGCAGACCATAGGAAATTTATGTTGTTATATTATAAAATACTGAAATGCTATTTGTAGATTATGAATTATCACAGATTTCCTGATTTTCTTGGTTAATCTTGTCTCCTTCCTTGATTGGGAAAAATCATTTATACTTTATATAGAACACCTCTGTATCTTTCTATGAGCATTTTCCTTTGCATAGCAGGATAGAACAACCACCAAAATGCATTCAAAATACAACCATAGGTAGATAGTCATATAATACAGTGGGTGAGTTTCAGAATGGAACATGAAAAAAAATCCAGCAACAAGGGAGCCACTGAATAAGGAATTAAATTATTTCAAAAGTTGATGGAACTTTTTCTTATGACCCCAAACAGTCTGTAGGTTCTAAATTTGTAACCTCTAAGGATTAATCTGTGTAAACATGTCTAAGACTAGCTGCTATACAAGATCTATACAACATGTTTGAGGATCAGTGGCACAAATGCCAGCAGTGCCATTAATATGATGTACAATCAGAAGTATGTTTGTTTTTCTTGACCAGGAAGTGGTTTCTTTTAAAAGTACAAGGAACCCACAGTACCTGTGCACGTGTTTGTGTCTGTCTATTTTCCTATTGTTACAGGAAGAATTATGATCTTACATTTTTGTCCTTTACAATTGGGTTTTTCGAGAGTTTGACATTGTGGTATACTGCCTTTGATTACAGGATCCAGTCAAAGTTGATGTACTCAGAAATCCATTGTGATTAATGGTTTCCTAATCATATTATGTTTCTTTGCTTTGCCTTATTTCCTTTAGTCTCACAATTTTTGAGTCATATCTTGAATTATCCTTTTTTAATGAGCTACTGTATTTTTTAGATTTTATTTATTTACTTTTAGAGAGATGAGAAGGGAGGGAGAGAGAGAAGGAGAGAAATATCGATGTATGAGAGAAACAAGTTGCCTCTTGCACACCCCCTACCGGGGACCTGGCCCACAACCCAGGCATGTGCCTTGACTGGGAATTGAGCCAGCGACCCTTTGGTTCACAGGCCAGTGCTCAGTCCACTGAGCAACATCAGCCAGAGCTTGTATTATCCTTTATAGAGGATCTGAAATCCTTGTGAGTATTTTTAGTCTGTAATTTGCATGATTCCTTTCATTTTCTTTGATTTCCTTTTTTGCTTGAAGAAAATGAAAGTTTGATTTTTGGTTTTTGAACTCTGAATGTTATTCTGTGGTAACTGGCCATCCTAGTACGAATTTTTTTAAATAACATGAAATATTTTTTTTCCATCAGCACTAGATCCAGAAGTCTTCCCATAAGTTTCCAGTAGTATTATTTTTATTCTCCTCAAAAGTAAAATAAAACATTTTCAGATTCTGTGAGTAACAGGAAAGTACACTAGGAAATGACTGTAGAGGAAATGTGATTGATCATTCATTCTTTACAATTGAATTGGTCACAAGATTGACTAGTAAATACAATCTCTTGAATTAAAAGATGACAAAATCTTTGGGGCGTTTGAATACATTTGAAGATTATTGGCATCTTTGTCACCTTACTGATATTTTTAATCTCTTTTTCAAATGATTGTCTGCATTTGAAATTAGGAACTCTCATATCTAGTGATTCCTTTAATATTTGCTTTGTTTTCAACAGTGCCCTTAAAGATAGCCGTTTTCCCCCAATGACAAGGGATGAACTGCCACGGCTCTTCTGCTCAGTGTCTCTGCTCACTAACTTTGAAGATGTCTGTGATTATTTGGACTGGGAGGTAAGACTATAGAAAAATTTTAAAGAGAATGGAAAGTAACTTGTGAGTAATTGTTTAAAATTAGGCCCATAAAATAACTCTTTCAGCCCATTCTCTACTATAGTGAAGATAGAGTAACATGAATAAACCTCAGAGCTGATCAAAGAGATATGAAGGAGGGTTTTTTTTAAAGATTTTATTATTTATTTACTTTTAGAGAGAGGGGAAGGGAGGGAGAAAGAGAGGGATAGAAATATGGTGTATGATCCATTGCCTCTCACATGCCCCCTATTGGGGATCTGACTCACAGCCTAGGCATGTGCCCTGACTGGGAATCAAAAGAGCGACCTTTCAGTTTGCAGTTGTTTTTTGGGTTTTTGTTTTTTGTTTTTAAGGCAAAGTTCCATGTGTTGTTTTAATCCCAAACTGAAACTGCTCTTCATTTTTGTCTTATTACTTCTCAGAGAGCCTCATAAAAGCTGTTAATAAGTAATAAAGAAGACTGATTAGAATTTATTTCTCCTCTTACTTACATCGTGATGCCCTCTAGTGTAACTGCCACCAAGCAATTAGGTGGTCAGAGGATAAATCTAAGAGTCAAGGAGCAAAAGAGTTAGGATATCACACCACCTGGGGAAATACACCAGCTTATAGATAATGATAGGGCATTAGTTAATTAGAGTTAAATTATGCTAATTCTTGGCCACCTTTAAGGTTATATCTTGGGTATCTCTGTGCATTGCCATTATTGGAGTAGTCTATATTGATCATATTTTTATTCTGTAATATGTGGGGTTAGATTTTTTTAAAGGAATTTCAAAGATTCTCACAATAACCTGCTTTGGTGGTTAGGAGGAGATAGTCAAATATATGTCTATGAATCTTTACACACATACATGCTCACATTGAATGCCTACTGTTTTTAAGGCACTATGCTACATGTATAAAAGTACTAAGATTTGGTTCCCACCATAAACCATCTTATAGTCTAATAGCAGAGAAAGGGAGTATATACAAAGCACAAAAAAATAAGTGAATAAAAATAATAATAAATAATCTGTAAGAACAAAACTTAGGGAGTTCAATGATATACATAGCATTCTCTTACACACACACTCATAAGTGGCATGATTGTATCATTATGATATAACATGTTTTAATTCTACTACCTTTTAGAATGCCTATCCCCCATGGTAACTGAGACATTTTGCCTTGTGGACTGATCACTGTCTTGATAGTTCATTGGATTTGAGTTTTATTTTTAGCATTGTCCTAATTCCTAGTGAGACTTTAGACAACTTTTTCCATTGCCATTCAGTTTTTCCACATGCAAAATAAGACTTTTATAAAGTTCTTAGTCTTCATTTGCATAATTTCTATGATATAAATTATTGTTGCTATACCAGAGGTATATTTTTATTTTAAAAGATTTTATTTATTTTTAGAGAGGGGAAGGGAGGGAGAAAGAGAAGGAAAGAAACATCAGTGTGTGGTTGCCTCCCACAGGCTCCCACCTGGCCTGCAACCCAGGGATGTGCACTGACTGTGTATCAACCGGTGATGCTTTGGTTTGCAGGCCGGTGCCCAAACCACTGAGTCACACCAGCCAGGGTGCCAGAGGTATTTAAAAAATTGTGCAGAGAGTAGGGTGAAAGAGTTCTTCTGGATTTGTTGTAGGGTTTTTTGGAGCATTATCAGAATATGAGAGCATCTTAAGATTTTTTTGTAAAGGAAAAAGTGAAACTAGTTGATAGTGTTGATCCTAGCAAAGTTAGAATGTGTAAAGCCTTTTATACAATTAAACATCCTTAATTGGTTGTTTGCTATAAATGTATTGTTCCTATTTGAATTTTTCTTAAACAGAAGTCTACCAATATTACAGAAATATTGCGTAGTACTTATTTTTAAATGATCACAAATCATATCCCCTATTGACTAATATTATAGTTTGGGTGGTTCTTTTACTGTTTAAGGCTGTTCCTTCTTTTCTAGCTAGAATTTTATTTCTGCTTTCTGAATTTCAAGGTACTGTGTTATAGTAAGGGTGGGATTAATAACAGGGAGGGGAAGCCTCATATCTAGGGAATGACTGAGCTACAAAAACACTTTTATCCTTAATGGCAGCCACTGAGTTGGAAGTGTAGTTCAGATATGTGTGTGTGCATGTGAATGAATGTATATTACATATATGTGTGTGCATGTGTTTGTCAGGAGGGAACACTGGGAGAATCTAACCATTTTTAAATAGGTATGGGTAATCACAGAGTCCCTCATCATCTTCTTTAGCCCTCTTCAAACACCGTCTATAGTTAAAGTTAACATTGATATTATTGGGGTTTTATGTCCATGACATGTATCAGCTTTGTGATAGGAAGGTGGGAGGTCAGGCACTTAAGAATCAGTACTGTGTACTCATTCATGGTTTATTTATCCTGTCTGGTTTCAATTTCAGGAAGATTCTATATTGCTTCTACTTGGTGTTATATATTTAATACATTCCTTAAGGCTTAAATATTAAGCCTTAATGGTGTCTATTTAATGATCCTTTCCTGTTAAAGTACCAACAAAAAATACAAACTATCTTAGTACTTTAAATATATAAGCACTTGTAAGTGAATTAGGTACTGCTACAATGGCTATGCTAAAAGGAAAAGACTGTACTTTTCAGTTAGTTCTCATAATTTAAGGTATTTTAGTATAAGGGAAATTTGTTCCCAAAGAGTAAGGGTAAAAATTACCTTTTAAGGTATAAGAATGTGATTTGGGGTTTAAAAAACTGTGCCATGGTCAGTGATTGTGATTGAAAACAGAACAGTATTATTATAGAATGATGTTATAAGGTTCATCCTTAATAATTCTGTAAAGGCAATGTTTAAAAGTATATGTCAATATAATTCAAGTCCTACATATATACCCAAAAGAAATGAAAACAGATGTTGAAACAAAAACTTGTACATGGACGTTCATAACAGCCATATTCACAAAAGCCAAAGGGTGGAAACACCCCATGTCTATGAACGGATTAAGAGAGAAACAAAATATGGTATATCTACACAATTTAATATTATTCAACCATAAATAGAAAAAAAGTACTAATACATGCTACAATGTGAATGAACCTTGAAAACATGATTCAAGTTAAAGAAGCCAGACAGAAAAGGCCACATACTGCATGATTCTATTTATATGAAATATCCAGAATGGGAGAATCTGTAGAGATTAGTAGCATATTAGGGTTTCCAGGAGATGAGGGGGAAGAGGTGAATGGGAGGTGCTGCTTAATGAGTACAGGGTTTCTGTTTGGGGTGACAAAAACGTTCTGGAACTAGATAGTTGTGATGGTATACAACATTGTGAATGTACTTGATGTCCCTGAATTGTACATTTTAAAATGATTAAAATGGAAAGTTTGGTATTATGTGTATTTTACCACAATAAAAAAGGATATATTCATATGCATAGATGTATTTAAATCTATTTCTATAATAATATATTAATTCTAATTTACTGAAGATGAAAACTTAAAATTCAAAAAATATAAAGGAAGAAATGCAAGACATTCATAATTACACGATTCTGAGATAACCACTCTTAACATTTTGGAATGTCTCTTCCAATTATTTTTCTGTGTCATTGTATGTATAAATCTGTATATTTGTTTATGTAACTGAAATTGTCTTGAATATACAGTCTCTATTAAAAAGAGGATTATGAGGAAGTCTTTTTTATGGTTTATCTTTGTATAACAAGTTTGTCTATATTATGAAAGTACACATTTCATTTTGAGAGATATCACACTGTCAAATAGTTACAATTTTTCTTCCAAGAATGAAATGTCCTGTTTATGATAAGTATCTAATTTTAACCTGAAATGCAAAGTGCTATATATGTTTATGCCAGAGAGGGGAACAGGAGGTGATTACAGAATTTTAATAGGGAATTTTTAAGTCAAAGATCAGGAATAAGTATGTTTTACATAAGCAGAAGCCTTTAACATGGGGCTTTTTCTGGTGGAAGTACCATTTGAGAGTTAACCCCCACTGGCAAAGCATGTTACTGCAGCAGAACTCCTAGTTAAAGAGACAAAAATGCCCATATCAAAGCAAAGTGAGGGCACTGACTAAAAGTCCTGAAGCACAGAGGTAGGTAACTTAGATAACAAGAGAGACATCCCTGTGGTCATGAGGATGAGGGATGTGACCAATAGTAATACCTACCTAATTTTCAAATGATTAGTAAGCGAGTGAACTGCTACAGGCTGGCTACTATCTTACTCTCTTCTTCATCCAAGCTTTTTAACAGCCTATTTTGGAATGCTCTTTTTGTAACATGTCCCTAATTTTATAATGGCACTTAGTAGGAAAGTAAGATTTACATCAGACTTTGTTTTAGAGGCTAGAATGCTTGTATTTTATATGATTCTATTTGATAAGGTAAGGAATGTGTGAAAAATGGTTTCAAAAGTGGATGTAATTAATTTCAAGTCATTGTTGAATTGACAGAATGATCAGTAATGTCTCCATATGTTATTATTTCCTCAAAACAGTAATTATCACATTTAAAGTGAATGTCTATATGTAGCTTCTCAAGGAGCCTAGGTAGTTATTAAAAACAGCAAAACCATCCATAAAAGGCTGTAAACACAAATTGGGATAGTGGTTCACTCTTTCTAAGAATGGCTGATCATTGCCAGCACCATGATCTATTTAATTGCCCTGGTAGGTATGAGAAGAATGAAAAGTGAATGACTTGGAGGGAAAAGTCATTAACTGATAAATTGAAATGTCTACCTACAGGACTAAAATGGTTGTTAAATGAGCAAAATTACTTCCCTGGGGAGAAATCTGAAGTGTTCTGCCTTGTGTTTGAAAACAATAACTTATTACCATTGTTCTGTGTTATTCTATTAATAGCATTCTCTTAATTGACAGGATGATTGACAGACATGGTGCTTTAAAAACAAATAAAAGCTCATGTAGCATGTTGGAGTCCTCTAATATGATATATAGCCTGGAACTTGT